AGTGATAGGGGGGCCCATGGGCTGTGGTCCTGGAGGGATGGCGAGGGCATGCGGCAGTGGATGGCATGTATCAAATGTGCCGTCAGGGTGCCCATTGTGGCACGCATCTCGCGGCATTCCTCCAGGAACGCAGCCCATCCCTCCTGCCGCCACTCCTGGTCCCCCTGCACACGCTCCGCAATGGAGGTCTGGATCCCCTCCACCGCGGTGACATGACGCCGAAGCAGCTGGTCCCGGTGTCGGAGCCTGGTCCTCCGGGCTTGGGCAGCTGGGGGTGCCGCTGCTGCTGGAGTCGCTGGTCTGGTGCTGGGTCCCGCTGCAGGGAAGAGAAGAAAGGACGGGTCAGTCAGGCAGGCCATCCACTGTCCCCACACTTCCATGCCCTCCACCCCAGAGCCCCAGGTGACCGCACAGTTGTGGCTTGGGCCCACTCAGTTCCCCTCCTGCTCCCGGGGGGTGTTGTATGTTGGCAAGAAGGACCACCCCTGGGAGTAGGGTCCTCCCTGCAGTATTGTAAGCACCGGTCTGTATCCTGGCTCCGTGCAGGGCAGGAGGGTGCTTGTGCTGCGTTCACCTGTGGAACTCCCTGCCGGTGGACACTGTGAAAAGCTTAGGGCTAATCACTGGTGTTTGACAGGGAGCGAGATGCATCCCCACGCAGTGCCTGGGAGCACACCTGTCAGTGGCGGTCTGGGCTCTCAGATCCCATTTTTGCGTGCGATATCTCCTGGTCAGAACCAGAAAGGGTGACTGGGTGGGGGGATGTCCCATCCTTGCAGCAAAACTCAGGGGCCCATCTCCCTCCCACTATCCCTCCCGCAAGCCTGGTAGCCCAGGGACAGGTGTGGCCGCAGTGGGGACTTCCCTCGGGGAACCTGCCAAGGCACTGGGAGCAGGTCCACGGTCACAGGACTGTGACGCTGCACTTATCCCAGGAGCAGCTGGCTGTGCCTCACAGCCAGGCCTGGGACAGTGTGCCATTCCCTGTGCTCCACCCCTTGGTGGAGCAGCAGGCTCTGGGCTGGGTCCCTCGGGCCCTGGCCGGTTCCAGCCGGCATCCACCCTTCCCCCTGATCCCGCTGAAATGTGTGTGAGAAGCACGGTCCCAGCCGTGCCCGCAGCTGCCTGCCACGGCCACCTGCCGCTCAGTCACCAGGCTGCACGTGGTTGCACGTGCTGCTAACTGCCGCATGCTATGCAGCGTGCAGCTCACGTGGCCTGAGTGACATGCTCTCCCCTTCCCCCCTCCGGACACCTGGGTCTCGCTCCCCCCCGCCCTCCGCCCCCTGCCCTTTGGGAGTGTAACCTTCAAAGACTCACCAGTGGGTTCCTCCCCGGCCACAGAGGAGCTGCTGGAGGGGGCCTGCTGGGTGGCAACGCTGGCCTCCTCTCCCGAAGCGCCGCCGCTCTCGTCTTCCTCCTCCGGTTCGGTGGGACGAATGATCGGGGGGTGCTGGCAGGTGTCAACGGGGACAGCTGGGCCTTGCGGGGCTGGCTCGCCCAAAAATGAGTTCAGCCGCTCAAAATAGGGGCAGGCATCAGGCCCTGCTCCCCTCCCCTCCGTGGCCCGCACGTACCCCAGCCGCAACTCCTTAACCTTCGAGCGGACCTGCTCGCAGTTGCGGCTGGGGTGCCCTTGCTGGGCGAGGTTCCGGGCCATCCGGGTGTACAGCTCAGCATTCCGGCGGCGGGACTGGAGGTCATGGAGACCCTCCTCCTCCTCCCACAGGTCCAGGAGGGCCTCCAGCTCCCTGGGGGTCCAGGATGGGGCCCTGCGCTTCCGGCCCCTGGGGGCTTCCTCCTCTGCCCCGGGTGACGGTGGCTGACCACCTCGAGCTGCCATGCCTCCGCTGAGGTGGCTGGGCAGCACACTTGCCACGTGGCAGAGCTGGGAAGGGAGGTCTCCGGGGGCCTCCTGCCACGTGCGGCCAGTAGTGTGCGTGCTCTTTAAGCCCTCGGGTAATGCGGAAGTCCGTGGCTTCTACGGGGTCTCCCGCCGTCCAAACCGCTTTTTTACGTTTCTTCTGCTTTTCCGGAAAAGCAGTCTACACTGGCCCATTCCCGGAAAAGCTTTTCCGGAAAAAGGACTTATGCCCGAGCGGGAGCATCGTACGGTTTCCGGAATAGCGGCTGATTTTGTATAGTAGAGCATCGTTGCTTTTCCGGAAATTCAAGGGCCAGTGTAGACAGCTAGCGGCTTATTCCGGAAAAGCGGCTGATTTTCCGGAATAAGTGGCCCAGTGTAGACACACCCCAGCAGTTTAACATTTGTTTCTGAAGTTGTGGAGTGTTTTCACTAGACTTGCACTGAGCAATTAGGAACACACACACACAAAAGCTGGTTTCAGGACTCTGTCTGAATTAAAGAAGCCTTTACAAGTAAAGATGTCTGTATGAACAAAAGTAAAAAAAAAATTAACATGTGTACTTGTCATTTGGCAGCCAAATTAGGAAATGTACCACACAACAGTCCCAAGTTGCAGAAGTGGCTTCTGATTTCCCCCCCACAAATAATGGTATTGGACACTTAAAGCCCATCCTATTAGCCTCATTTAGCACAGACTCTATAATTGACAGTTTTTTCCTTCCCTCTCTACCTTCTTTTTCTGCTTTAAATTTTGGAGTTTCTGTGCCTTTTGCTCCACTCAACTGAAGAAATAGGCTGTTGAATGTCTAAGTAGCTGATTGTGCCTACAGCTAGAATACTTGGACATCTCAGTAACATGAAATAAGACTGCAATTATACATGGGTGCAGAACTGGAGGCCAAGTTGAGGTCCTTTTTTAAAGTCAGGTCCAAAAAATGTGCCTAATTTTAATGAAAAACAATACTGCTGTGCTAAGAATGCATCCACAGAAGTTCCTCTAAGTATTGCAATAAGCTGAAGTACTTCAACAGGAATTGACTAACAGCTGTGACATCAGCACCACACATTGGAGCTCTGCATATTTCCTTTATTAATAAAATACTCTGAACTCAATTCTAACCCATTTCCAGATTTAAAAAGGGGTAGTGTCAATGAAGGTGGCTGAATGTAATGGCAGGAAATGGAAGTCCTCTATAGTCTCAGTAATGGCCTGGAAGGAACACATCTGAAGCTAAGAAGTAGTCAATTTCTGTACCTACAGCATCCTTGGCCTCTGGACTAATATTGCCAATAAGGGTAACAATTAATTTTTAAGATTCCCTATTTGTTCATAGAAACTGTACTTGGATGAATGTAGACAATTTCTGACATCAATTGCTTACTGATCAACACCAGAATTGATCTGGTAATCTAAAGTAAGATGATCTGTGCCACACCCTATATAACCATCTTTTGAGAGCTGATCATATGTGATTTGCAAGTAGAGAACTAGAGAACTAGAACTGTGTAAATAACGGTGCAATTAATTTGTGCCAGTATCTGTACTTATAAAAGTGATTCTTGCTCTGACAAAAATATATAGAAATGTCTTATATTCCTGCATTTTACCATATTTAAGAAAATTGGAAGGAGAAAAAACAGGCAAGTAACATGTAATTTTTATTACCTAATTCTCTTTCTGGAATAAAGGAATAAATTAAAGGCCATTTGTCTTATGTTTAAATATGGAATGTTTGAAAGTTCCCTTCAACAATCAGGTTTATAATTAAAATTCCATTTTGAACATTCAAAAATAACATTTTAATATTTTCCCATCAAACGTAAAAATAGATTGACATGTAATCATTTACAAGAATAAGTTAACTGATAATAAAGACAACCAAATGGCGCATAAGTAATTTGAAAAGAAACTGAAGGTTCTTATTTCATGAGTTCTCACAGAAGTCTCAAAAAACTCCTAAAACTTAATATCTTCAGTAATCTGCTATTAACAAATCAGTAGAATGCTGCTTGATGTTCTTAATAGACAATAGTGCTTGAATTCAAATACTTTGTTATTCTGTGATTGGTATACAGAGACTCGAACCATCAGGTCATAGTGAACATAAATCACAACAAAAACACATGCATCTGACAAAGTGTGTCTTTGCCTATGAAAGCTTATGCTCCAATACATCTGTCTATAAAGGGCCACAGGACTCCTGATCGCGTTAACAAAAACACAGCCACTTGTATAAGCCACCCAACCCCCAACATAGAATCATAGAATAGAATCATAGAATAATAGGACTGGAAGGGACCTCGAGAGGTCATCGAGTCCAGCCCCCCGCCCTCATATATATTGTCTCTTCATAGTTCTTGTTTTTAACTCATATTCCAAAAAGCAGTCAGATGAGGCGAGTTACCCTATGGCACTCAGAAGTTAGACAGGGATTCCACTCTGGGGGTATGTCTAGACTGCATCCCTCTGTCAGCAGAGGGATGCAGATTAGGCAGGTTGACATTGCAAATGAGTCAGGGATTTAAATATCTACGCCTAATTTGCATTAAAATGGCCACCATGTTTTGCCAACTCAGCACTTTGTCGGCAAAAAGCTGCACTCTAGAGGGGGATCCGTAGAGAAAGAAAGCCTTTTTTGACAGATCCCGTATGCCTCCTGCAAGGATGTTTACATCCTTAGCCATTATCTTTGACAACTTGTGGAGATCAGGAGAGATCCCGGATGACTGAAAAAGGCAAATGTAGTGCCCATTTTTAAAAACGGGAAGGAGGAAAATCCTGAGAACTACAAATCATAGAGGGGATTCTCATGGAATCCATGTTGAAGCACTTGGAAGAGAGGAAAGTGACCAGGAATAATCAACATGGATTCACCAAGGGCATGTCATGCCTGACCAAACTGACTGCCTTCTATGATGAGGTAACTGGCTCTGTGGACACGGGGAAGTTGGTGGATGTTCTATACCTTGACTTTATCAAAGCTTTAGATACGGTCAAAAGTATGGATTGGATAAATGGCTTGTAAGGTGGATAGAAAACTGGTTAGATTATTGGGCTCAACGGGTAGTGATCAACAGCTGGAGATCTGGTTAATGGTTGGTTTCAAGGATCAGTTTTGTTCAATGTCTTTATTAATGACTTGGATGAGGGGATGGAGTGCACCATGAGCAAGTTTGCAGATGACAAAAGCTCAGGGTTGAGGTAGATACACTGGAGGGTAAGTATAGGGTCCAGAGTGACCTAGACAAATAGGAGGATTGAGCCAAAAGCAATCTCATGAGGTTCAACAAGGAAGAATCCCAAGCACAATTACAGGCTGGGGACTGACTGGCTGAGTAGCAGTCTAGCAGAAAAGGACCTGGGGATTTCAGTGGATGAGAAGCTGGATCTGTGTCAACAGTGTGCCCTTGTAGCAAAGATGGCTAATGGCATATTAGGGTGCATTAATAGGAACATTGCCAGCAGCTCTTGTGAAGTGATTCTTTCTCTTTATTCAGCACTGGTGAAGAAACATCTGGAGTATTGCATCCAGTTCTGGCCAATCCTCTCTACAGAAAGCATGCGAAAGCATTGGAGAGGATCCAGTGGAGGGCAACCAAAATGATTAGCCCTGGCTGGGTTGATTTAGTTGGGATTGGTCCTGCTTTGAACAGGGGGCTGGACTCGATGACTCCTGTGGTCTCTTCCAGCCCTCGGATTCTATGATTCTATGTACAGTAAAAACAAAAGCACAAGGAAAAATTATTAGTTCTAATCATTCTGATTTTTAAGCTAAAAAGTCAAATATTCCACATTTTGTTTGAAGTCGCTAATGATCATTTTCTATCTAAGTACTATTGAAGACTAAGATTTTTCAGACATGCTCAGCCTTGACTGAACTCTGCTCGCACTGAAATCAGTGGAATGTTCAGCATTGATCTGAGTGCTGAGGGCTTTTAAAAATCCCATCTTAAAGATTTTTCTACAAGAATCTTAATCCATAATTGAAAAATATGCAAAAAAATTTGATGTTTTTAAAAATGACCTTTAAAGTTAGGATATGATCCTCTAGGGATTGCATCTTGTGTTGTCACTTACACTGTAAACTGTACCACTAAATGGTAGCACTTTATGCTCACTTCATGCAAGTTTAAAGAGAAGCAGGCCTCTTCTAAATCTGATCTGATTTTCGTTTGTGGCATTGCCAAAAGGAAACAGCTAATTATGTTGCTATTGTTAATCACTGTCATCTCACGTGCAGTACCTTAAAATCACTAAATCTAAAGTGTTACACAAATTCATGGTTGGAGACATTTGACAAAAATACTTTTGTGTGCCATTTCCCATGATTTTTTGGGTCACATCATCTACCCATCTCTTATTCATTCTCCTTGAGGTTTATTTTATAAATATTACTTCAGTTTGTTTAACTAAAAACTGCTATGCACCACCTTTTTCAGAACAGAAAAAGAGCTATCAATCTGTCATTCTTTTTCTTTCCATCATTTTTTTCAGTACTACAAAACATCTGTTCTCCATTTATATGGATCATCCTTTTCTGTCGATCCTATTTTATTTAAACATTGGAATCATCAAAGGTTAAGCATTTTGATTTCTTCCTCATTTTCACCATATAATGATATGACAGAGGACAAATATATGTGGCAAAGTTCAGAGATGGTATTAAAACACAATTTTTTGCACTCTTAACCATGAAAGGAAAAAGCAGTGAGTGGGAAAAACTGATGGGTTGGCAAACAAAGTCTGACAGTTTAGTTGGTCAAAAGAGTCATTTTTACTGTCTCCACCTGGCTGCTATTTTTACCAATCCTTTACACATGCTGACTTTGTTTTTTAAATGGTCATGGCTGAGATTTTTTATTAGTAGAAAAAATGGTTCATTGCTTGTTACCTTCTCTAAAAAAATCTCACAATCACAAAGTCAGTGGGTAACTCACACAGTTAAACACAGGATTCTCTAGTGAAGCTATGGTACCGAGAGACAAAAACCTGTTCTTATTTCATACTGAGTCTTCCTTATACAAAACACTGATGTAATTGAAATGAAAGGAAATCAAATTGTGCTTGTGCTGTTGTCATAATGGAAGCAATGTTATACTTTCTAATAGATCTGAAGACGACTGCATTTACTAGGCTTGTGAACTTTTTCAACAGGAAAATTATAAGT